GCTGCGGTATTTTGACTGACATTTATTCTGTCATATAACGCTGTACTGAAATTAATTTTATACCATTGTTTTGGGGACAGATAGAGCTTTCGTTCGGTGGTATTTAATCACCACTGGGGGTTTTAATTTTTAACTATATTAATGATAAATTACTAAAAATGTTCAAAGAAAAAAGTTATATTTTTTACATTATGTTATAATACATTTATTATTACCCAATTTTTTGGTAAAATACAAAAGACGGGCTCACGTCGGGTAAATAGACACCAAACATGTCAAGGTTTAAAATTGCGTGCACCCGAGAAATCGCACAAAAACTACCATACCCAAAATTGAACCTAGGCGACGCTTTAGAAGCTTTTACCGCTTATCAGTTTAGTGTTATCAGTGATTGATGGCCCTAAAATTATTGCTCTCACTGCGACGTTCGCGGCGATATGCAACGTGTGGCGTGATGGGCGCAATCGTCGTTTTTGCATCTATACGCACCCGATGCATGTTTGCATGTGTGTATTTATGGGTGGGACACAAAATTTTGTTTGTGTTTTAAAAAAAATTATTTTTCATGTGTGACTTAAAATGTTTTTTTTTGCAACTTTAATTTTTTTTCCACTTAACTTTATTGTTATCACATAGGGGGCTAAGAAGCCCCCCTATGTGATAGCAAATACATGTGACAGGTCCTCTTTATGGAGACACCAGAGGTCTCCAAGACCCCTAATGTCACCTAGGGATCCCCAAAGAAGCTGATGTAGCAGAGATTCTTCTTCTTCTGAAGCTGGACAGTGACACAAGAATGCGGAAGTGATGTAATATATACCGGGCGGATCGCTTTAATGTAAACAAGCATCGCTGCCTGTTTTTAAATTTGGGCAGGTTCCCATGCGCGCGAGTGGGAATGGCTGACGGGACGTTTAAATACGCTCGCTCAGATCTAGGAAGCTCCCGGTCGGCCGTGTTTTTACAACCGCCGGCCGGGAGGAGGTTAAGCAACATAGTTTACAAAAACAATATTTTTCATGCTTTCATTTGAGAGCCTTCATCAAGCCAATATAGACATTGCTGTGTAAAACTTGTTTGTTTACTTTGCCTCAAGTGATTGTGATTGTTCTGTACCTTGTTTGGAATCTCGCATCAAACTTTTTTGCACTCAAAGGGAAATCAGGCAAGAATGTCAACAAACCCACTCAACCAGTAAAAAACTGGTTTTGGAACTCAAACTGGAGCAAGACTAACTATGGCCCATTGACAGGAAACTTTTAAGAACGTTGGTGTCACTTGGTGTCTTATGTCAATTAAAGTGACATAAAAACCTCAGATTTTTTAACATAAACCAATACTGTAATGTGTGCCTTACTGTAATCCATGGTAGTTTCCCTTCTCTTTGCTGCTCTTCCTTTTAAATCTGTATCTGTTCTCATGCTGGGCAGAACTTCTGTTTTGCAGCAGACTGCCTTGTCTCTGAAATGGATACATGGTGTCTGTGTGTACGTTTGCAACCTGAACCAGCACTACAGGAAGAGGCACTCAGCTGCAAAGGGAAGTTCTCTCCCAGCATGAGAAGACATGAGGATTTAAAAGGAAGAGCAGCAAAGAGAAGGGAAACTACCATGGATTACAGTAAGGCACACATTACAGTATTGGTTTATGTTACAAAATCTGAGGTTTTAATGTCACTTTAAATCTAGCCTTCCATTTTAAATCTTTTATCCTGTCCCACAGCTACCTGTTGGTATTGTTTATACCGCATACATTGCCCACATAGCAAAAATACATAATTCCCTATTATCTGATAACAGTCGGAGTGTCACTAGTAACAAAGTTAATACCACTGCTCAACAAAGGTGCAGATCAGTGATGAGGGCAAGTCTTAGTTGCCAACTTCTGATAAAAGCAGGGAACAAGTAGCAGCATTATCAGTTTATTCTGGTACATGAAACATTTTGGGATAAACATATTTTCTCAAGGCATGGCTTGGGTCAACAAAATTCCCCAGGTTCTCTAGCATGGTTTGGGTCACCACAAGGTCCCTAGGTTCTCTGGCACACATCGTTTTATTAAGTGTAGCATGGCATGTCACACGTCATTGTCCATGCACTGCTCCAGTATGGTACTAAGGTGCTGTCATAGTAGAGTTTTCACCTTCCACCAGAAGGAATGCCAGTACATACAGTATCTCACAGAAGTGAGTACACCCGTCACATTTTTGTAAATATTTTATTAGATCATTTCATGTGACGATACAGAAGAAATGACACTTTGCTAAAATGTAAAGTAGTGAGTGTACAGCTTGTATATCAGTGTACATTTGCTGTCCCCTCAAAATAACTCAACACACAGTATTAATGTCCAAACCGCTGGCAACAAAAGTGAGTACACCCCTAAGTGAAAATGTCCAAATTGGGCCCATTATTTTCCAGCACTGCCTTAACCCTCTTGGGCATGGAGTTCACCAGAGCTTCACAGGTTGCTACTGGAGTCCTCTTCCACGACGACATCGCAGAGCTGGTGGATGTTAAAGACCTTGCGCTCCTCCACCTTCCGTTTGAGGATGCCCCACAGATGCTCAATAGGGTTTAGGTTTGGAGACATGCTTGGCTAGTCCATCACCTTTACCCTCAGCTTCTTTAGCAAGGCAGTGGTCATCTTGGAGGTGTGTTTGGGGTCGTTATCATGTTGGAATACTGCCCTGCGGCCCAGTCTCCGAAGGGAGGGGATCATGCTCTGCTTCAGTATGTCACAGTACATGTTGGCATGCATGGTTCCCTCATGCAGCCACAGACCATGACACTCCCACCACCATTCTTGACTGTAGGCAAGACACACTTGTCTTTGTACTCCTCACCTGGTTGCCGCCACACACGCTTGACACCATCTGAACCAAATAAGTTTATCTTGGTCTCATCAGACTACAGGACATAGTTCCAGTAATCCATGTCCTTAGTCTGCATGTCTTCAGCAAACTGCTTGCAGGCTTTCTTGTGCATCATCTTTAGAAGAGGCTTCCTTCTGGGACGACAGCCATGCAGACCAATTTGATGCAGTGTGTGGCGTATGGTCTGAGCACTGACAGGCTGACCCCCCACCCCTTCAACCTCTGCAGCAATGCTGGCAGTACTCGTATGTCTATTTCCCAAAGACAACCTCTGGATATGATGCTGAGCATGTGCACTCAACTTCTTTGGCCTGTTCTGAGTTGAACCTGTACTGTTAAGCCGCTGTATGGTCTTGCCCACCGTGCTGCAGCTCAGTTTCAGCGTTTTGGCAATCTTCTTATAGCCTAGACCATCTTTATGTAGAGCAACAATTCTTTTTTTCAGATCCTCAGAGAGTTCTTTGCCATGATGTGCCATGTTGAACTTCCAGTGACCAGTATGAGAGAGTGAGAGCGATAACACCAATTTTAACACACCTGCTCCCCATTCTCACCTGAGACCTTGTAACACTAACGAGTCACATGACACCGGGGAGGGAAAATGGCTAACTGGGCCCAATTTGGACATTTTCACTTAGGGGTGTACTCACTTTTGTTGCCAGCGGTTTAGACATTAATGGCTGTGTGTTGAGTTATTTTGAGGGGATAGCAAATGTACACTGATATACAAGCTGTACACTCACTACTTTACATGGTAGCAAAGTGTCATTTCTTCAGCGTCGTCACATGAAAAGATATAATAAAATATGTACAAAAATGTGAGGGGTGTACTCACTTCTGTGAGATACTGTACATACAGTATGTCCATATTCACTTGAATACATAATTTCTTGAATTGAGTTACTGATACACTGTGACATTTCTAGGCACACAATCCCACAACTCTAATCACAATCGTTACTTTATATTTTAAATTATTTTACATTTAAAGATGAGCGTCTGAGGAACGCGAGACCTGGAGGGCATTACATGTGGTAGAACATTTCATTTCCTAAAGCCAATATGACTACAGGGAAAGCTGTACCCGAAACTAGATTAATAAAATCAACAAAGCACCAAAACCTTGCTGACACTGTAGTTTAATAAGGACAGATGTATGTCTGCATCTTAGAGGCATTGAAAAGAATGAAGTAATAAGAAAAAACAGCTTTAGGGCTGACAACTATGAAATACATGCCAGTAAGTTAAAAGACAGCCTAATGTACATGACATAGTTTATCTGGGTGGTGCACAACTGACAAGACAGGAGTACTAAAGCACAAGAACATTGTGTTAATTAATGCAATTAAGTCACTTTAAGGATAATGTACCTGCAACATGCATGAGAACAGAGAAGAAAGAATGTTTGTAATTTTGTGTAGAAGCAAACTGCTGGACAAAGTGTGCCTCTGTGCTTAAAACTTCAAGAGTCAAAGAGGTGATGTAAAGTCCTGTTACATGTACTGATGGTCTAATAGGTTCAATTTGCAAGCTTGGTGAATCTTGCTCAAAATCCACCGTAACCCATTAAAGTATATGGTGGGAGGGGTGAATCTTGTTATTCAATTTTGTCTATTTGTGGGGCTAATAAGCAAATTATTCTCAAACAAAAGGCATGGGAAACCATGCACTGGAACGGGGGACAAAAACTAATACAAAAAAAAATATACAGTGGGAGTAGAACCTTCTTTCATGTGGCTTTAAGGGTGACATTAAAAATACACAAATCTTTTAAATGACAAGGTTGGGGGCATGACTTAAAGCTGTATGTGGGTGTTATGGATCAGCATATCAAAGGATATGTAGCTCAGAATTGTCAGATCTCCCTAATAGTACCAACACACACTGACAATATGGCTGCTGTGAACCCACCTTTTTATAGTTTATAAATAGCACTATTGTAGGTAACTCAATGTTATTTAAGCGGCACATGTTCATATGAATATATTAAAAAGCACATACACAAATGCATTGACATAGAGGGGAAATACGTTTACATTTATACAGCACATGTAGACTACAGAGCAAACAAACACATACACACAAGCACTTCTTTTAAAATCACAAGCACTTCACTATGTTATACCTCTCGATGATTCAGTAACTTCTCCAGGTCTGCTGCCATTTGATTTTTGACACGAAGGAGACCAGACTTTTCTGTATTTAAATTACTAAAAAATAAAAATGAGATCACACATGGTCATTCCAGTTCAAAGCTCAAATCACACCCCACTGCCATATAAACAACTACCATTTATTTGCTTGGAATAAATTCTATAGGCTATGTGAGTAGAGTAAGGGTTCAGTCATACTCTCCCTATAGAGGTGTTACAGATGTGCTGCATTAAAAACCCCTGTCTGCTGCATCTTTAGCGAGTTTTCCCAATTAAACTGCATCTTCTGTAGGGATAAATGCATGTAAAACATGCAGACAACACATGAACTAAGCACCGGACTTCTCAATTAGCGGTGCAATTAGATCCTTAACTTAAAAACCTGCCACAAATCTGGACAACTGGAACTGATTATCCAGTAAACTAATACATTAGCAGAAGCTACCTTTAGTGAAAGCCACATCAAATTGATTAGTAGATCCAGATATACAAGGAGTTGAAGTTACATGCATTTGTAACTGATGTGAGTGACAGGAAACAGATAGCAATAGTAGTAATAATATAGGTCACTCTAATCTCTGCTAATGAGTAAACATTGAGAACATAGATGACAGCTATAGCTTTGTTATTAATGATATAACTATTTATTATTTTATGAGCATATGTGGTTATTTTGGTTTTATGATAATATAAATTTGAGGTGTTAGATTGTAAGTTTGCCATTTACATCATTAGCGGAGGGGCCACCTATATTATTACTACTATTGCTATTGATTTCCTGTCACTCCTGACAGTTTCCGTTTGAGGGAGATATAAGAAGAGTAACTAGAAACCTCAGTACGTTTGCCCTTTCTTGATAAAGTCTGTGGACAAAACGCATCGGAACAGGTGGGCCCACGCTGAGGTTGTGCCACAGGAAGCAGGAAAGAACTTGTTCCCGCTTAGTCTGAGGATTTGCTGGTTCGTGGTTGATCGTTTTTTATATGAATGGCAATCGCTTCTGGAAATTTTTTGTGTTTTCAATAAAAGACCTATTTTGGCATACTATACTATCAGGGTTATTCACAATAAGGGTGAAGAGTTTGGAGAAGGCAGGAGAAGTGAACAATTTAGGACAAACTAGCTGATCTGGAAAAATTCTCCAGTTCAGCTATGTTGTCCTAGATTGATCACTTCTCCTGCCTCCTTGTGAATAACCCTGTATGAGCTTATCTTCTCTTGGGAGTGGATATCTCTCGTAAATGGCATTAACTGGAAGCATTCTGTGAGAAGGATTAGAGATTGGAGGAAGAAGTTTCACAGTGATTACTATCTGCGACCGTTTTGCCTCTATGGTTATGGAAATCTGGTGAGTGCGGGGTGTGCGTCACAATCAACAGGAGTTTTTGGAGCACTACAGATATAAAGATGACTTGTCACTTCACATATTTATATTTATGTATGCACATTGGCACTTTGAGTTCAACAATATATTTATGTATATTATGGGTATTGATTGATGTGATATTTGATGGTTATTTATTAGTGCTGTGCAAGTTTTGATTGAATGCTCACTCACGGTTAGCACGGAAGCTTTTTCAATATTGGTCATAGTTTTCCATAGCGTGGATTTTTTGGGTTTAAATATTTGAGAATGTCAGTTGAATTTCTCATTTAAAGGAATACAGTCACCAATTAACACTTTCAGGTTCCTCACATATATAGAAAACGTTTTAAATTAGCACCTACTGATGATGCTCTTGCTATAGCAATTTATTATGCCTTTTGTCAGTAATAGCACTGTAGTTTGCTTTACTCTGTGACAGGCCTTGTACTGGTGGTCCTGATGTGTGCGGGAGAATGCCAGTGACAGCAGCGAGTTCCAATGCTACAAACAGGCAAAGAAAACTCATCCTGTTCCTTGCTGTCACTTACAGAACACTGGAGGCTTCACAGGCAGCAGCCAGACACCATGGTGGGCCAGAAGAGAGGAGGGAGTGAGCAGTGTGGGCAGTCCAGAAATGTCAGAGGTTGAAGAAAACTACATTGCTGTTACTGACAAAAGGCATAATAAACTGCTACGCAAGAACAGCATAAGTGCTAGTTGTAAATATTTTACACATGTGAGCAACCTGATTCTTTTTACTCTGTGTTCCGGATAAGTCCGATTTCTCTCACTTACTGCCCCAATGACTATGGTGACAGGCATAGGAAATTAGAACTTTTTTTTTTGTCTAAAGTTTCATTCACACCATGTGCAGTTAGATGCCTTTATATACATGTAAAACAACTTTTGTAAACACATATATATGCATCTAATGCTTTCAAAAGGGTATATTCACACCCTGCTTCTGCGGTCAGGTGTATCTAGTAACCGATTTGAACTTCTAAAAGAACCAAAATGCATGTAAGTGCGTTTTGATGCTAGGATTTGGTACCGCATGCATTTAAATGCATACGGATGTAAATGCATGTAAACACTTGTCAGTAAAAGCATCTAGAAGCATAAACACAGCATCTAGTCTGACAGATTTCACTCTGCATATAGAGGACCAAAACACAAGTGGCATGTGTGAATGAAGCCTAAGGGCCCATTCAAGCCAAAACCCACATAAAAATGCATGTAAAACGCAGATGCGTTTATACACTTTCATTGTTCTTTAAAGCGCTAGCGCCACTCTTACTATTAAAAAATAATGTGTGTACATGCATTTACACGTGTTGTGTTGCCAAAATAATGCGGCCTGCCCTATTTTTTTCAAAATTCAACGCAACACACCGATGTCTACTACACCATTGAAAACCACTACTTTTGAAATATATGTTTTTAATGCGTTAAAAAATGCATCAAAATGCATTGGGTGGGAATGGGCCCTAACGCTTTCAGGAGCTTTAGGAAAGATCCTTAAAAGTTTAAAAATGAAACATATTCAGCATTTGATACACTATAACTACAGAAATACACGAGTACAACATAATGGAATTAAAAGCATAGCTCATATGTATGTAAATATTGTTCAGTCTCTATTTTAATCCATAGGTCTATTTGAGGAGTATGTTCAGAATGTGTAGAATTATACTACGTACAATTAACATAATCCACATAGCAAAACAGGACGACAAGTTCACAATTTCCCTAGGACGTCTGAAATGACAAAAGTTTCGGTTTCTTAGAATGTCACTTTGCGTTGTGTTGGGTATAAATAACAATGCATGTTTTAGTGTTGTCTTAGTAACAGGCATTTGTTGCATTACACACTACTCAGGTGCTCAGGTTCTGACGTACTGAACATACGAAGGTGCTTAAAAGTAAACTTTGACCGTCAAAAATAATCTTTAAACAAAAAAACAACTACGTATATCCCATTGTGACTTAAAAAAAAAGATTTCCTATTGGATGTGAATGAACATTTCAGGGCGTTCTTAAAATACACACATAAAATTACTATTTTTTTTCCATTACTTTAATTTTGAAATGGCACTATAAAACAAACATCACTGCTGGTAATGAAGCGGGAAGGTTGCAAATTCTACAGCTTTCGTAAATAAAAGGCCTTCACGTTTATTTGTTCCCATTTGGTCTATTAAATATAATATTGAAAGTGTTTTTTTTTTATATCTGTTCAATAAGTGAGAAGAAAAAAACAAAAACATCCTGATGCTGCTACAAATCCAGTGATGTCCTGTGCACTCCACAATGTTATCTTACAACACGGTTATCAACACGATTCTACTGTAGTCCACATAGGGAACTGAAGTGGGTCATGTGCACTCCATATAGTGTTTGAACCTTAGATTAGTTGTTGTGGTGCTCGTAGTGATTGCACTGATGGTGCCGTGTTTCCCAAGATCACAGAAGATGAAGATCACCAGCACTCACCAAAAGCATGTCGTTTTTTGTTTATTTATTGAAGCAATGTGTCACAAACGTCATAAAGCCATTTTGCGGATTCCCTTCCTCAGGGCGACATAGTGACAACCATAAAGTGAGAAAATCGCATACAGTGTATATATACACAGTGAAGCACCAACAACAGAACGACCCCGCGACATCATAATGATGTCAAACCCCACCATAATTCAAATTCATAAATAATAATAATATATATAGGAAGCTTGTTCCCCTGATTTATTATATATAAAAGGAATACTATGTACCCCAAGGATAAAAAGAATGCGGAGGCGGCCTGCTATTCAATGTAGATGAAGGAATCTGGTATATTTTCTTTGTTCAGTCCGCAGGTTGATTGTATAAAATATATACATGTATACCCTACTTTACACACACTGTCTCCCAGCTTCTAAGTGGTCATAAGAGCTAGTATCAAACATCAGAGCTCCAAAGTGGTTTCTCCTTAAAGTGGAACTGTATTGCTGTAGTTCCCCACTGCTCTTCCCAAAATATGCACAAATGCACAGTAAGCTTGCACAATATGGCATACTTACCTCCTCCAGCAAAGGAAGATCTGTACTCTCCTTAATTGTTCCATAATTACCTTCTGCTGGTCTTCTTCCAGGTTTGCAGTCATCTGTCTTCAACCAATACATCATTTCTGCACCAGCTTTTACAGATGCCAGTTTTGTATACAACTGTGCATTGATGGCAGTCATTGCACAATTGATAGCAGCTAAGAAAAGAGGTCTAATGGCAGGAGAGACATACAGAATGTTTTCTGCCATAAAACTCTACTTGCTATCAATTTTCTAGAAGAGGATTTTAAGTCCCCTTGTAATAAGGCGTTTTGCTTCTGAACTGCAATCCAGGTGTGAGGTCAGGCTGTTGAAGGAGCAGCAACTGCTTTGGCTAAAGGTGTCCATACACCTTGCGATTATCGTCTGGTAATCGAACATGATCTGGTTTTCGTACGATAATTGGCCAGTTGATGGGAAGGGAACAATCAGAATTACCGTACAACTGGCCGAATTTCCTTGATTGGTCAAGCTGGAAAAATTTTTCTAAAAATTGTACGAAAATCGATGGATTAGTGGTATTTTTCTACGAAAAAAATAGCAAAATGAACACTCCACGTGCGCAAATGAACATCCGTTCTGTTGATTGATGAGATTCGGTCAGTCAG